TAACAGTAACATTGCATGTAACTGTAAGTGCTGACGAGAAAGGAAAGAGTAGATGTTTTGATAACTGAGCACTCGTGTCCAAGTGAGCTTTTAAGCATCAGGTGTCGATATCTGTTTACACAGCCATTTAAATGATATGTAGGTTTGCTTTTATGCATTATAAACTTTTAATTTTCAACTAATGTTTCATGCTTGTTTGTGTCTTTTCTCTGATGCTTTTAAATTCCAGCTTCTTTCCAAAGTTTTTATTTAAACAAGCCCATCATATGCATTTGCTTTCCTCTAATACTTTAACTGGTGAATGTGAAAAATATTCTATAAAGTTTTTTTAATGGGAGGTGCCAAGTTGCTCAAATAAGTTTCATTGGTTTAATTTTTAACCAAGTAACTCAAACAACTTTTTGAACATTTTTTTTTATTAAAAACAATATCATCTTTTATGTCCTTTTTCCTAACACATCCTGAATGGCACCATTTACAGGCATACATATGGTATAGCAATATAACATGATTGATGGATTTCCAATGCTGAAATTATGATCCCCCCCACCCTCCCTTTTTTGCTCAAGTCTACACCCTGTATAATGTTTATCATGCCCTGTTCAACCCTTTTCTACACTGCATTGCAAAACAATAAAATGCATCCATTGCCTTAATTTAATCACAGACAGATCTTTCCCCATAGCGTCAACCCAAACAACATTTCAAAGCGAAGACAGCGTGGCACAGAAAACTGAGGCAGAGGTGGGGATGGTTGGGCTTGGAAGACGAGCGGGTAGCGGGGGTCGACTGAAGGAGAGGAATCATGGCTCTCTTCAGTTTCCTTGCTGCATGGCTTTCTTCTCCGCTTCAATTTCTGTGAGGAAGAAAGAACAAAAATTTAATATTACCAACCATAACCCACTTGCTGTATTAAGCACAGAAGGCTATAGTGAAGCTCCCACTGAGTGTATTAACCCAACTCAAGGAATGTTTGTTAGCTAGTCAATTCACTGCAATTCTTCATGCACAAAGAGACATTCTGTCTGTACTGCATTACGGCAGTTATCCTGCTGCTGTCCAGTTAACACCCTTTGAGTCATCCACTCATTTCTATAGATGGCGTGGTATCTGAATAGATTATCTTCATAGCCACTTTCTGTTTGTTGCAATAGGCGTGACAGAAATGAACGAACAACATTTTCATATCACTTCCACATTTTCCACTTTCAACTGTGAATGCATCGTCACAGTAACAGATAGATGAGCACAACATTACGACACGAGTGCTCACATACCTCTGAGCTGCTCCAAACTTTCATTTGCCACAAAACAGAGCTAAAAAAAAATGTGGCCAATTCAATCTCTCCCTGTAGCTCTACTTTACAGCCAGAAGTGCAAACCACTTCTCTGGATGAAGATGATTGTCTGTGCCTAAAGTCCAATTTTTGTCCTAATGAAGCAATGAGAAATGTTGCTGTCTGGATGGCAGCACCGCATATCACATATCTAAAAAAAGGCTTTAGAACTCATAAAAAGGCCAGCATGCACCGACAGCGCCACCTGCTTCTGAGCCTCTTCTCTCATATAGTAGCCACAGCTGTGTTCAGATTAAGAAAGATTGAGTTAGACAGCAGGGAGCTTCACAGCCTCAGAGGGGAAGGATGGGCATTTTGACACACTTTCATTCTCCTCTTTCTGCTGCTGCATGTCACGCCAGAGATGAACACTGCTTTTTTTAATTTAAAAAAAGAAAATAAAAAAAACACAAAAAAAACCACCCCACACACCATTGTGTAGTTTATGATTGGGGTTTCTGTTTATTTGCTCTAAAATTTGTATTCTTCCACTCTTAGTGGTAGGTTAGAGTTTCAAGAGTGGAAATATGCGTGTGTTTCTTCCTTCCAGGTTGGTGCTAAGTACAAGGTCTCAGGTAGTTGGGTGTGGTCCTTGTTTTGCAATATTTGCAGTTACCTTTATTTAAAAAAAAAAAAAAAAAAAAAAAAAAAAAAAAAAAAAAGGGCAGGGAGGAGTTAAGCCAACCAGTGAGCCAGAGTAAAGGGGAAATGTGAAAGTAGTAAATGAGAGGCTTGTTTGGAGCACATTTCTTTTGTCTTAAAGACCTACCCTCCTTTGTTGGAAGGTGGTTCTTTTCTTGCGTGTTAGTCTTCTTTAGCTTTTGCTTGTTGAACTGCTCCACTTCCTGGTTGACTGGGTTGCTGTCGCTCATTTTGGAGGAGTTCTATAAAACAGAAAAGGTTAGATTTAAGAGAAGAATTTGTGTGCTTTCAAGATCTGACTGACATGCCAAGATCTTGTCTGCAGTGCATGCCCATACATGTACACAAACCAAGTTCCACCTGACATGAGAGAGAGAGAGGGAAAAAAAAAAAAAAAAAAAAAAAAAAAAAGGTTATGTGAACCATGCAGTCACCTGAAACAACAAGTATCTGTACCTCCATCTCACCACGGTGAACTAACGTGATGTAGTGTTTAACTGGGTGGCATTCAAATCCACAAATGGCTCTTGTTAACAGAGAAAAATGGTGCGTCTGTGCACTGATTTGCATTTATGTACAGTTATTAAAGAGATACGGAGAATTTTACACCTGTGCCAACTAAGCAAATAAGATTAGAAGCGCATGTGCGTTGGAACAAGTTTTATAGGAACTTAATATTTTCAGGAGGACTGAAGTCAGGGCATAAATACTGCAGTATTAGGAAATTCAGTGACCTATCCCATTAGGGGAGCGTCTGTCTTCTTTGCTGTCCACACCTATAGACCGCACCGAATAATGGGTGCATTTTTATTTTTAACACCACCCTAGGGAAATGACCCCTTAAAGACCATGCTGTGTAGGAAAAGTAACCTTAGGTAGCCTGATAAAGACTTATAGACAGCCCTAATCTGCGGGCAGAGAAATGAGGCACTGTCAGGTATCTATACACACCCTGCGCCATAACTGGAGTGACTAACACACCAGTGAGTGTACTAGAAGAGCTACATAGCTACATACCAAAATGTTGCATAACGTATTTCATATTTTAATACACAGCACATAAATAATCACTTAAAATAAACATTTCGTTCGCATTTTTTTCTTAGCAATTAAGAAAAAAATAATTTATCAGCAGGCTAAGACAGCTGGAAAAACAAAACAATTTAAAGAGTTTTACCTGGTGCAGGACCGCGTTTGCAAGACAATCTTTAACAGGTAACTGTGTGTGTGTGTGTAATCCGTGCAAAGCCAACGGTTTAAATAGAGACAACACGCCCTTGTGCACGCCAACATGGACACCGGTCCTCTGGCTCTCATTGGCTCCCAAAGCTCAGAAGGCGAATTTTAATTGGACACTCTTGATGTCTCACCGCCCTCTCAAACCTCCTTAAAAATGATATGTTGGGTCAAAGTTCTTCCCATGCAGTGTTGCAGTCGCATGATGAATCCCTTCACGTATCCGCACGTTTAGATGAATTAAAACGGACACCTATTGTAGGTGATGTGATGGATTTCACGTTTTTCTCTTTTAGCACAGTACCATCTAGTGGGCTACAGGGTTATGACAAGCCAACTTAAAAATAATCATAACAAGAAAGGGAAAGAAACCAGTTAAAGTCGAATGACTGTAATTTGTTAATGCACTTGGAGGGAAAACGCCTATACTTTCCAGTAACTGTTATTTTGTTTGGCAGTAAATAGGGGAAAATATGCTGTTTTGACAGTCAAATACATGTTCTTTTACTGTTCTACGCTGTAAGCAAATTATATACCTTCAGGTGAAGCAGCCGCATGCTCTTGGGGTGTGTGTGTGTGTGGGGCACCTAGCTAAACAAGAGGCAGCAAAGAATTATTTTCCTGATTCATCCAGTCGGGATGTGTTTGGACATTTCCACAAGCAAGAGCAGGAAAATTCCTCAAAGGAAGGCCCCACTTAGCCCTGCCCCAAAACCTTCTTGCTGTCAGGAAACAGTGCAGTAGTGACTGAAACTTAGCTTTATTTTCTTACAGTCAATTTAATTCATAATATGTATATGATGATTCATGGTCACCATATATATTGAGACCATACATGACTTAATACCTTGGGGGGTTTTTTCAGAAGGAAATTGTTTATCTTGCAAAAAGACGGCAATCCACAGATGTAAACAGCACATAGATTTATGGGGTCTTATGCTAAGGATCAGTATAAAAGGATCATTTAAAAAAATAAAAAATAAAACAACAGGTGAGTTAATGAGTCACAGTAGGTTGTCCTCGTTAGCACATAAAATGCCCAGAATAAAAATGACATTTCACACAAACAAAAAACATTCAAATTACCTTTTTAAAAAGTAAAACAACAATGATTATTACCTTCGATCATTGGCTACAGAAAGACTGACAGTCCTGAGGAAATAACAGATTACATTAAAAAGTGTAAGACTGAATATAATTCAGTATAATGCCAGTGTTTTACACTGAACTACAACATAACTCCCTCTGTGCACAGAAAACCTGTTTCATAACACATAATAATAGTACCTCACAACCTGCAGTTTGCACTCTCGTCAATGGGTGTGCGTGGTCAAGCTGTACCTGGCTGATATTAACAACTTGCTTGTTGTAAATGACCTCATAGAAGCATAGAAAGAGGGAGTGACCTTTTTTAAGTAGGACAAGCATAAGTCAATGTGTCAGCCATAAGCAGACTAAGCAGCTGGTTGCGGGCTCCCTCACCAGCAGGGGGCCCCCAAGAGCATTTGAAATATCACATAATGCAGGTTAATAAATGTCAAATTTTTGTGATATATAAGTTGTATTCATGAAAGCTAAATATTTTTGATACATATATTAATAAAATGACAGGTTAATGCTACTGGTTTGATCACTTTCACTGGCATAGCTGGGGCCACGTTCATGCCCACTATAAGTGTTTCAAAGTAGACCGCAGCAAATATGTAAAAAAAAGAAAGAAAGAAAGAAAGAAAGAAAGAAAAAAAAAGACTTATTTTGCTAAAAAGAAAAAAAATGAGGGGGAAGAATTGGGATAAAGGTATGTTTATGAATTAATATACTTTTCTGCCATTCTGCACATTTTAAAAGCAGTATGAACAGTCAGCTGTTTTGAATTTACAAAAGTTAACTTGGTTTATTTCTTTCCACTACACTAGAAAGGCATGATTATATATATGTATATGACAAATGATCAAACATGGACAATTCATGGATAATTGTGGCTGCGCTGAAGTGGGTGGTTGATGGGCCCCAAATCCAATTCTGCTTTAGGCCCCAAAAATCTAAGACTGCCCCTACAGAACTACATTGTGGCTGTGTGATGACATTACCGGCAGTGCACAAAGCAACCAACGTGATGAGTATTGAGATAATCCTAATTCTCAGGTAGTAGAAAACTAATCTGTGTTTCTGACTATATTATGGCATCTGTTCTTTAAGCCTGGCTGGCTTACAGCATTTCTTGTTTTCTGAGTCTTAAGCAAAATTTCTTTCCTTACAAAACAATAAAAATTCAAAGCATATGTGACTGACAACTTCATCAAAGGAGAACTATTCAAACCCATCTCTGAGACCAGAAGTCTTAGCAGTGGTGCTGTCAGCTTGGTAGCACATTTTGACACAGAAAATTAGCTTGTTAGTATGACTGCATTTTCTTCACTCACTGCAGTAAACATCAGAGAAGCGCAGGTGGAAGTAATATATCGAATAATTGTTAAAGTTATGGTTTCAGAGTACCGGAATGGCTTGTGGTAGTTCACTCCCACACTATAAAGGCTTATCAATACATTTTTTTCTTGCAGTTATAAGTCAAAATGTCTCCTGTGAACAATATCAAAATTGAATACACTTTTGTGGATAAAAATGTCTGGAGCACGTATCTTCAGCCTGATCGTTTCTCCTGCCTGTCATAAATGGCAGTGGTGAGTCCCCAAGTGATGCACGACCTCAGGATAACCATGGAACCTCCTCGATACAGTAACGCCAAACTCCGATTACGAGATTTCCAGAGCAGAGCCCAGCATGCTATGACCCCTTTAACGTCCCCACCTACTTGTGACTGCATGTTTGCCACAAGCACAGAGAGTGGGTACAGAGTCAAGCTGACTGCCACTGATATCACTGTTCCTGAGATGAAAGAGGAGGCCATTGGTGAGACCCCATGCTCCGCCACAGCAACACACACAGGCCCCTTCAGTCCAAAGTAGAGGGAGCTGCCGAAGGCGTTGCGGGCTGCAATGGGCAGGAAGGCTCTGTAGTAGCCTAAAGCTATCCCCTCTGCCTTTAGCCTTAGAAGGACGCTCTTGAACGAGGGTAGACGACTGTCATTCTGGCTGTTCTGCAGCACATTCTGAACGCGCTCAAAGGGCGTAAAAACCACGGCTTCTACAACACCTGCCCCAAACCCTGCCAGAGCAGGAAGGGCCTTGGCAGAGATGACATTCTGGGATGACAGAGGGAGCTGTCGGAGGAGGGTATCCTGGAGGCCAAAGAGCAGTGTGCCGTTCAGCGTCCTCATCACTAACGGTGGAGCCACACCCCTATAGAGCTTCACAGGGCCCTCTCTATAGAGCTGTGCCAGTGCCTTGTGAACTGAGGTGTTGTGGATTTGTTGACGAAAAACAGTCTTATAGACAGGAAAGACGATAAGGGTGGGAAGGGTAGACAGCAAGCTGGAGGTTCCTCCATGCAAGTAGCTCTGGAAATGAACAATTAGGTTGCCAAGTGCTCCTTCTTCTTGTTTACTCTCAGAACCGCCGGCCATTATTCTCCTTAGAGAAATTAAGCAGATCCAGTCAGGCATGCACAGTTAGTTATAAGAGAAAAATGAATGAAAAAGCCATTTACAACACTTAGGTTAAAAAAAACTCAATTTACAGTGTGTGATTATAATCATTTACTTACTCTGTCAGCTGTCTCCACCAGAAAAACAATTTTTTTATTTTCCACAGTTCATTGTAGGAATGTGGAGGCAGAATAGGTGCGTTGTTATTGTATTTTCCAGTGCTGCATGAGGAGAGGGTATTTCTGCTTGTGCCTGTAGTTACCACAGATGCTCCTCCGATAAGCGGTCCACAATAGAATTCCTTCTTCTTCTTCTTCCATTTTTAAAGGCAGCCTGCATCCAACGATGTTGCACTACTGCCATCTTCTGGGTTTTACTCCCACATCACTTCTATATCCTTAGATCCTCTTGATGAGTCCAGCATTAAACAAAAAATGAAATATCTTTAATTCATCTTCTTTCATATCATATCTAACCGCAATATACCCATACACTCTAAAAAACCCCAAAAGGCTTCAACCATGTTTCCTGAATACAAATGTCAGATTTTTCTGTATGATTGTATATAAACTTTTTAAAAATCTTGACTATTTGACAAAAGACTCGTTGTATTCCACTTTAGGATTAATGTGGTTATAAAAATTAACCACCACATTATCCCTCTTGACTTCCGTGACTACTTAGTCCCCCCTTACATCCACCCACCTGATATTCTTCTTATCTAAACTATGGCATGCTGCCTTAACAATAATCTGAATCCTCTCCATCTTGGACTTCACATTTGATTTTGCATTTATTACCTCTGCAGTGAATGTCACCATCTTCCTCTATTTTCCTTTGAACCATTTCCATTACTTGTTTCTCCCCTAACCTGGGTCTGCAATGGGATTAGAGAGCAAGGCGCACTGAGCGTTGATCTGCTGGTGTCTATGACTGACCCCGCCCCCTTTAGAATAATCATTGGACAAGACGAGCTACGTCACGACACAATGGATTGGTTGTATCATCTGTCGGTCAATACCGCCTTTTCCCCCCACCGAGCTTCGGGAGAAGGGTGCGTCCCATGAAGAAATTGTTTCCGGCAGACTGATGTTCCACGGAGTTTTATCAATGCCAAGCTAAAATATTTTAGCAATTTTAAGAAAAATATTTAAGTTACTAATCCAATTACTGATAACGGATGTATAAAGAACCTCATCTTCCCTTTCAAAACATAAATTTATCAGCAGACTCTACACATTGCAAGAATGTATCTGGTGGGCAAACAAACAAACAGCCCTCTATATTTGTATTACATTAAAAAATGGCATCACAAAATATTACGGTAAAATGCAGGAGTAATATAAAATAATACAAAGTATCCTTGGTTACTAAAAAGAATAAAATAAGCCAGGTTACAGAAAAGGGGACATTGTGGAAATTAGCTATAAGCTACATCCAGTCTAATTAAAGTATTGTGCATTAGTGCTATGCCATACTGCAGATTTTGGTTTTGATCTGATACCAAGTAAATGCAGGATCAGTATTGGCATTTACAATATACCAATACTGATACTTTTACCCTACAGAGATGGCTTATACAGGGGAGAACAGTACGTGTCATGATTGATCAGATGAATAATCAATGTGCAAATGCTGAACACATTTTAATGAACAGGTTGTGATTTTTACTTTCCAGAACAACAAATATATATCCCTTTGAGCCAACTTGCATTTTGAACTGGAATTTCTTTTTAGACACCTGGAATGTAAATGTGTCCCTTGGTTGTTTACAGGCCATATACAAAACAGATGCAACACATTTTTCATAGGGTACGTTGATGAATATTTTTCCATTTTGCAAAAAAACAAAAACAAAACAAAAAACATTAAATATAACATTTCATTTAAATTAAACATTTGTAGCCCTCACCCCCCCATGCACTGCAGTGCTGAACTTTTTTTAGTTGAGCTTGTGGAGTGATTTGTTAATGTCTAACTGGGATTGCACATTACAGTGTTTAACCCGCCAGCTGTCTAGTACAACCTTCTGTGACGTCTCATTTGTCCCATGTAGCAGCTTAGGTTAATTTGTAGGTGAAATTTCAAGCAGCCTTCACTCCTGGTCTTTGAGAGCTCCATCTAAACAGCATTTTAATGAAAGACATTTTTTTCCTAGTACTGAGAATGTAACTCAAATGGACTATATACTTTTATGTGGTCTAAGATGACTGCGGACAACCTCAACTGGGTTCAACTTTCATGTGTCTAAGCAGAAAAAAGACATAGAAGAGCCATGTTTAAGATCTGACGCATATTTAATTGTATTAAGAATGCATTCATCAAATAACTGGCACATTCATTCTACTGAAAAAAAATAAAAACACAAAGATTTGGATTATGCACATAACTGACAACTCCTTCCTCCAGACAAAGAAATAAAAGGCAGGTGAACATTTCTGAAGGAAGCTCCAGCCTGCAGAGACCCCAAGCTAAAAACCAAACAACCCAACTATGGAAGGCTCCTCACAGACCCTCGAGGACACTGGGCAAACCCCACTCAATGAGGGCACCTCAAGAGCCGAAAGAAATATCCAAAATTATTGTTTTCAGCCTGCTAAGACAAACCGAAGTGCTTTGTCCAATGGGAATCCAAACAGAAACATGGGAGGGAGAGAAATAAAATAAAGCAAGAAAAATCTTTTCATTTCAGACTGTTGAGGCACACTTGGTTGAGTGGAGCTTCAGTGGCACTGTAAACTCTCAAAACACATTCACTTCAGTAATTATAATCTTTTAAACAGCAGTGGATAAAACAAGCAACAAAAAAAACAAAAAACTACTCTCGTTCAATGTAACAAAAAAAAGCACTGTAACAGCTTCATATAGCAGAAGCTTCTCCTGACCACTGGAGCCATCCAGGGTTATTCATATTAGCTCTTTGACAACAGACTGAAATTACTCCTGCAGAGGTGAGATGGTCAGGAGAAACTCTGGATTGAAAAGTTATGAACGAAGAACAAAGTTCACAGTGGATAAAACACAATTTATCCATATAAAATAAATATGCCAGCCTGAATTGGTAGCTTGTGATTGCTTTGGCGCCCGAGGCGTGACGGTACACCGCTGAAAGGGAAAGGACTTAAAGTGAGGTGGGGCCAGCGTTAGTAACAGACATGACATTTCTTTTCCCTCCAAACAATTAATTAGCTGAACATCTTTGTTAATGGTTGTGTTTGAGTTGGGGAAAATCCCTCTTCTCTTATTTGGTGTTAATAGCACAAGGTTGATGGCAGACAGCTTTTGTTACAAGGGAACGTGGCTAAACAGGTACGACACGGACTCGCCGTTGTGAGTTCTGCGAATGGCCTCAGCAAGGATCATGGAGATGTCAATAACCTGAAGGCAAGAAAGAACAAGATGTCACACAAACTGTAAGACTCTGTGCAGCTTTAAACACCAGCTTTCCAAAAATGCACACAGCAACCTGACGTTTTTCAGCTCTTATGCCAATTTCTGTTCTGGAAACGGTTTTCAATTTCCTGACCTGTATTTTGGAACAATGCTTCATCTTCTCCTCTTGAGGGATCGTATTGGTGACAACCACAGCTTCAAAACAAGCATTGTTGATGCGGGAGATCGCTGGGCCAGAAAAGATGCCATGAGTTAAGATGGCATACACCTTAGTTGCTCCAGCAGAAATGAGTCTAAAAGAGAGAAAGAGCAAGCTGCATTACAAGTCTCCATATCACTGGATACAGTCTGCAAAACACCTGTCTAAATGGGATTCAGTAATGATCACTTAGTTTCCACAGTAGCCCAAATAGCTCTGCGTTTTGCTCTGGAGCAAAGCTCGAAATTTACTTAATTTAAAAGATTAAGAAAGTGCTTTACTTGTCAGCAGCATGGCAGATTGTGCCACATGTGTCGGCCATATCATCCACAAGAATGGCGACCCGATCGGTCACGTCTCCGACGAGAACCATGCGGTCCACCTCGTTCGCCTTTTTCCTCTCCTTGTGAATAAGAGCAAAGTCCACGTTCAACCTGTCTGCTATTGATGTGACCCTGCAAAAGAAAAAGCAAGCATTGCACTAGTTAAAGCTCTGTGTTTAAACTACTTTTGCATATCAAATTAAACTCCTGTTGAGATAGGTAAAGCCAACAGAATGTTAATCTAAATTAAACTCTAGAGAAGATATGGAAAGGTTAAGCTATGGTTAAAGGTAGAACTCCTGTGGGAGCATACCTCTTGGCTCCTCCTGCATCAGGTGAGACAATGATGCAGTTTTTCCACTCTGGGATGTTCTCTTTAATCCATTTCAGAACAGCTGGCTCTGCATACAAGTTATCAACGGGTATATCGAAGAATCCCTGCAAATAAGAGATATACACACACCGGTTAAACATATGGGCTTTCATTTTCCTTTATAGTATCCAAGTAAACAACGAGATTCACAATGCAAATTTTCACATATCAGCCACATGGAAGTTTAAAATGCAAACCAAAATGGTGATTTTGCAGGGCTGACCAATTGGAGGGCGGTGTATGAGAAACAAGTCTGTTTGCATGTACTGTTGTGTTGCTCACCTGGATCTGTGAAGCATGCAAGTCCATTGTGATTATATGGTCAGCGCCTGATACCGACAACATGTTGGCCACCAGCTTGGCAGAGATAGGGGCACGGCTCTGTAATGAAAATAGCTCTTGTTAGTCACATGGAATAAGCAAACTGGCAAGCAGTGCTCAGTTCTAAAAATAACACTTAAGAGAGCTTAGCAGTTCAGTAAAATTATAGCAGCCAAATGCTGCAGGTTGCCCTGTCATAGTGACACTATACATTAGTACTGACAATATAAAAGATACATGGGTTGATTTAGCTACAAAAGGCATTCATTAGAATAGCCAAAACAGTTGAGAATGATGGGTTTGGCCCTGCTACAGAGCAAACTCACATTGCAATATTATATTAACATTTTTTATTTAGTAGATTAACATGTAAAAACATTTGATTCGTGCACTATGATTAAAATGCCAAAAAGGGAATAAATAAAAATCCAAACAGCTGCATGGGGAGGTATGGAAGTGCAATTCAAGTTAACTTAGCAAACAATACAGAGGGGGGAACAAAAACAAAGAAAAGGGAAAAGCAAATATGCCCTGTTGGCTGATGGGCATGGCTGCAGGCTTCTTGTCATGGTGCTGGATGGCAAATGGCATGACAGAAGTAAGTAGACATATCCCTCACCCCCACCTTGTCCTTCTTGTCCTGCCGGGCGTACGGAAAGCAGGGGATGACAGCGGTGACCCTGGAGGCGGAGGCAATCTTGCAGGCGTTTATCATGATCAGCAGCTCCATCAAATTGTCATTGATCTCTCCACAACCACTCTGTACGATGTAGACATCCTCCCCACGCACGCTCTCCCCTATCTCCACGCTGCCAGAGGAGAGAAGGTGACAAAAACAAACAATTAGGGCTAAGGAGCTAACACATCATGGCAGGTAGGAGATGGATGAGGGAGAGTAAACAGTGGTTCGTGTTTGCCTTTGTGATCTGATCTGCACAAGCGTTAAACTGAGGGTAAAAAAAGAAGCATGCAGTCCGGAAATGTCTCCAGACGGTACATGATGGCACTTTAAACCTATTTTGAGGCGGCTTTGGTGCTGAGAATTAGCTGGTTATCATTAGTTCTGTGGAACGCATGGACTACAAGTTCCTGACAACAGTGCGCGGCAATTTCACCGTGACACCACGTTTCCCATTAATACATGTCGCTAGGCTACGATATTTGCCTACCAGACACACCTCTAAAATCTAAGCCTTTTTTAAAGTAGCTACAAAACAAAGCAAACAACTCACCATGTTTCCTGGTTGCTAAATTTCTTTGTTACAACCTTTCCCAGCTCGAGACCGAGGCGGTCCGCTATTTTCTGAGACAGGTCCGGGTGTGAGCTACCGCTAAATATTTTGATATTCGGCATTTTTCTGTGGTCCAGGGCGTCGTCCAGTCCAAGCGGGCTGCAGCAGCGAGCGGTTGTCGGGTCAGAGCGATGGAAGAGTCCAAGACAACAACTGGGAATTGATCAACAGTTGAAGAGCTACTCTTAGCGAGCTTAAGTGTGTTCCCTACCTATCCACCATTATGTCCCACACATCCCGCGTGCAGCTTCCTCTGAAGGTGGCGCGCACGCTTTTGCTGACGTCGACACCGTAATTACGTCTTCCGGTCTTGACACAGTCACGTGAGCGAGCGGAGTCTAGAAAGCTCGGAAGTTTAGACGGGTAAAAATGTAATAATTAGTCCACACGCAACTATATAAATAGATGTGTTTGGTTTTTTCAACTTTTTTTTGCGAGTTGTACATTTTATTGTATGATATTAAAAACATGCCTGAGATTGACATTAGTAAATCTCCTCTTTTTAGATTTTACCACAGCAGACCATCTGCCTCAATTGCACCCCATCCCTACTATCCACCGCCTCTGCATATCCTTCTGTATTACATCTATGAAGCTCCTCTGTGGTCTTTCTCTTTTCCTCCTGCCTTGCAGGTCCATATCCATCCATTATACCTCCTCTGCATGTGTCCAAACCATCTCATTTCTACAAACTGCTCATCCTCTGCCATCGCTTTCTCATTTTTAATATTGTCCATCCTACTCACTGCCAATAAAAAAAACTTAGCATCTTCATAGTTTCTGTAGATCTACAAATACACTGTGCAACTCCAAGATGAAGCAAATAATTAACAATTTGTAATGTAGCAGATGTGCATCTGTTTTTTTTGTTTTGTTTCCGATTTTCCTCCCTAAGGGCAGAAAATTTATGTTTAACCAAATCAAGGAAGAAGGCACATTGATTTACTCAGGGGGAATTTTTATTGACAGGGTGTTTTTTTTCCCCCTGGAAGTGGGGGGGGGGTGCATGCAAACATGCAGTAACATTTGCAACCCCCTTTACTACATTACCAACCACTCAAAACTCCTCACCTAAATCAGACAGCAGACTCCTGACTTTGACATTTTAAAGTGCACGTCTAATAATGGAACAAACATCACTGGATATTAGACATAGCTTTTAAAACAAGTAGAGAGCCCCTTAACCTTGGCCAAACTTGTTGATTCTGCAGAACTGGGCAGTTTTGTTGAGGTTTTTTTTCTTGAGGTTTTGTTTGTGTTTCTCTTTTTCTTTCAATTTTACAACATGGAGTTGTCAGGCTTGCTTTGTCTCAGGTTTCCACCTGAAGGCGGAGTTTCGCGGTGTGGGTCAACACCTCCTCACCTGTTGGTAGTTGATTCATCAGGCTTCAAGTGTAAGAAGGACAGGCCACAGTTCCCTAACAGACTGTTCCCATTAAACTGGTGACTCTAGGGCACTATCAGTCTTGTTTGATCTCATCCTTTTCTTCTGCCCTTCTTAGCTGCTCATTTGAGAGCCCCATTTGGAGCATGCTGGCTTGAGAATCAACTTTCCCGCAATCTGGTAACAACTCACTGCTACCTGGACCTCTGGATGTGTGTGACCCAGACTCAACCTGCCTGCCCACTCTCCACCTGCTCTCCAAGGAAACCTACCTGCTGATCTAGTACTTCCTCCATATTCTGCCACTTCGCAGCCTCAAGTTAGATTTGGTCTGCTTCAGTTTAGAACCTGCAATATTCACAGTGTCACTCTCTCTCACCTTGTAAACCTCCTGTGTTCCCATCTGCACTGAAGTATTACTCATTCCACCACCACAGTCCCTTCCCTACTTACTCACGAAGTCTGCTTTGTGGATCCAGCTAATCTCACATTATGACAAAACTTTAACCTTGTGAGATATAACAACATTGCCTACTCTGATGTGACTAAGCTTAGTAATCCTTTAGACCACGATGGAAGAGACTAACTTTATTATTAGAGTGTCTCTCCTAGACAGAGTTACTGCATTACAGTTTTACCCAAGAAACTCAATGTCAGGACACAACTGTGAGTGAGTTCAGTAATGTGCAAAAACAGAATAAGAATAAGCTTTATGAAAGTATTTCCAAAACATTGACTCAAGCAAGTATTTCTACTACATTTCCATAGGGTTAGGCTTCCAGTATCTGCGACGAGGAAGACGACAACCATGCATGTACTGGTTAACAAGAAAGTTTTACTGCTATCCATGCTCTCTGTCAGCAGTACCACCACATGGAGGACCAATTGGAGAAAAACAATCTGACAATGTATAAAGGGTTAGAGTTAAGTACTGTTAATAACTAGAGGTTAGAAGTTCTCCCTCGGCCACGCCAACTCGTGGAAAAGAGGTCAGTGCCTCTTTACACATGCACATGCACACAACTGATAGAACATATAGGTTGAGTAAATAGAGGGAGGCAATGACAGTGTTATTGCTTAGATCTTAAGACATTTCGTAGACCTATTTGTCTCTCCAGCCGTACATTTTATTGCTTCATTTCTGCCTTAAACTAAACCCAACCACAAAGCAAATGCTAAAAAAAGAATAATAGCCTGGTACTAATAGGAAAACCGAAGCAGGTTTGCTCATAATCATTCTTCCTGTTCATACTGTTCAAGGATTGTTTCATTTTAAGGCAACTTTAAAGTGAATGATTGGGGTGGGCAATAAGCACAAATAAGGAGTAATTAATTTTGTGTCAGATCTATAATAAAGCCTAGGTAACC